GTCAAGTTCCGAGTGCTTCAGGCCGCCTAGTATTACCATAAGCACGTGCACACCTGACCTCTCCACGATATTTACGTACAGCAACTCTGTATATTCGATCACCCATCTCCGTATAATTGTTCGCATTTAGCGCCATCATCATATAAACAATCATGAGGTCCAGTGGCGTGTATTTAGATACAGTTAGGATCACCTATTAGTAATGACTTCACCTTTTAACACAGGCTTCGGTGGCTCCGGTATGTTGTACGAATGTCAATAAAATGGATGCTGTGTCGCTTACTGTCTACTAGCCATACGATTGAGTATGAAAAGCATAATGTTGGTCAACCCATGCCATTGGGTCGTGGGGGATGAAGGATAGTTGTGTGAGGTTAGCATCTACATCGTGTGCATCACGATACGCTTTCATATATGATACAACAATTTTAACCAATGGTGAACATGCTGCGACTTATCCTTTCTCTCCATTTTCAAAGGAACATGAAGGCATGCTGTTCCTTAGTACACCTGCCTGTTTTTTATGATCCTTTCCCTTAATTACACTGCTTCTTTCCCATATATAAAGTTTCACAGTTCTTTCTGTCTGAAGCATCTTGTGATGCAGATGTTACACAAGTCTGTGTTTAAATAAAGAAGATAAATATTTGCTTCAATACTCAAACTGTTTTACAACATTTACTAAAAACTATAGAATAATTTATTTTTCTAACTACTTATGACTTTCCTATAATTCAATTTTAGATTTTCCTGTCGATTGATTGAACCGAAGTGCTCGGCTGCACAGGAGGTGGCTCTCGTAGCCCAAGTGGTCTAGTGGATATCGCTTTGGCGTTTGGAACTATGGGCACTGGCTTCGAGCCTCGGTGGGAACATTATCACTCACTGGGGAATGAAGGTATATCCAGATGGCGAGTCCCAAATGGGACGAAATTCACATCCTAGATTCCACTGCTAGTCAGTCACCATCCACCAATTAACTTTTACTTAGCACTATCGTTTAGATTAGTAGTATTTCTTTGTTTGTCGAGCTTACTTCTTCTAGATTACACCCTTAAATATGATTAAGTATTCACTATTAGGTTAAATAAGTATACATGTATATTGCTGCTTGCATAATTCATACTATCACTATATTACTGTGAAAAAGGTAGTTTTAGTTGACGCTAACACAACCAAACTGGACTTATTGGTTCCTGTTTATTTTTAAAACAGATAAACAATCGATTATCGTTGTTATTATTATTATTATTAAACTGTTACATTAAAATACATAACCTATTTGACCTAGAAAAGTATGTTCATTTTAAGAAGGAAACAGTTCAATTTGCACAGTGCAAAAAACGTTCACCTATCAAACATTAGTAGTATAAATAGTAGAATAAATAGCAATTTAAACAAAATAACATATTTTACAGACGATTACTGTTGACATTACTAGACAAATAATACTGTAGAGTATACATTAAACTATACTATGACGATTGCTTCACCTACTTTCTATGCTCGAAATGAAAATAGTAGTAAGCATGAATGTACACACAGAGATACAAACACACACACACACACACAGGTATATACATATATGTATGTCTAATAAGAAAATCAGGAAGTTTAGATGTTGATGAATGAATACAAAAAGAAAAGAAGAAAATCAGACAAAAAATTGTGCAAATGAATATTCACACAAGAAAAAACACATGTGAAGACATTTTAACTTTCTCTTTTTTTTCTAGAGAAAAATATCAGACAGAAAAGTGAACAAACAAGCAAAAATGGAATATCAGAGAGAGAGAGAGAGAGAGGAATATTATAAGGAAAAAAGTGAAACACCAATAGGGTGAAAATTTTCACATTAGACGGATGAAAACACAATCAACTTAAAGTGCGAAAAGAATAATAATAATAATAACAATAGCGCTGGTACATTACCACGCTATAGTAGGAGCGTTGAGAGACATTTGTGAAAATAAGAAGAAACAAAAACAGATATGAAAACTTCATTTAAAAACATTGTAAGTACATATGTAAAACATATATCATGTGTAAGCGTACATGTTACGTTAGAGCCATTGCAAATGGGAGGTATGGAAAAGGCCGACTGACTTTGACGACAGATATTTGCCTCCTATCTCACGTGCTGTGGTAACATAGAAATCAGGCGTACAGAGTTCAGTAAGTAGGGTAAGTCAGTCGATAGGTTTGTGAAGTTGATCGTCTGAGACTGCTAGGACATGTGTCGCTCATAGCAAGACATCGTCGTTCTCTGCAGACAATGTTAGCCGATATAGGATTACTTTGGAAAAGAGTTAAGGGTGGTCAAACCAGAACCTGTTACCAGTTCATAAGGTCTTAGGCAACTGGTATAAGGCATGTGAGGATTTGTAGGCTACCTGGTTGTAGTTTTCGGGATTCTAAGAACGAATGACTGGAGACCGTTGGTGGTATGGCTCCAGATGGTTTTCAGTAGTGCTGATGAATCCACTCTCTGTGATCCCCCATATCTACTAAAGTGTCACTTTTATCTTTTCTAGTATTCTTTCTGTTTACTATATAGGTACTTTAAATCTTTTTTTTCTGTCATTTTTTCTACCTTTGTATGATAAATGGAGTGTGCCAAATTGAACTGCTGCACGTCTGTACAAAGTTCTATGTTGAAACTCAGTCAGTAAGTCAGCCACATTATAATATGTTATTGTTCAATTCGAAAGGGGGATAATGGACCACATTAACCAAGATATTAGTTAGTGAATAAGAACAGGACATATTGTCATCAGATTGGTGTAGATCATCAGTAATCCCAGGCAGTAAAAAAGGATACAAATCTTCTAGTGGATGACCACAACTAATGTGGTATCTAAAATCCTAGATTCCACATGCATACACAAAAAGGGTTAACATAAAGGAAGTAGCAAGTCATATACGAGGTAGGGGACATGCCCGTAAAGATATAGCTTATTGGTTCAGTCACTCGGTTTTTAGACCGATGGGTAACGGTTCAGAGTTTCGTCCCTCCTCATTCAGCCTGGAAAACTGGATAGCAACATCAGCCCATATACGATAAGTGTGGCTCTTAGCCTGGTACATGAAAAATTTGTTCCGAATAATTGAGATTAGACACAAAAGGTATCGTCTTTACTGACACCTACTAGTAGTGTGTATTCACTGTCGTACGGAAATTTCCCTTTGACAAGCAGCATTTGAGTTATTCAGCGATGATTTGATTTTAAGGGTAAGATGCTGGGCAAATTAATGATTCTAATGTAATTGTTCCTTCTGTTGTTGATATTAATCACATTAAATCCTTTCTTCTAGAATTTGAAGGGAATTCACACTACAGTTTTACCATACGTTAAATCATAAAAATCAGCTCGACAACTTTTGAGCCTCCTCAATAAACTTGCTAAACACAGGGGAAACTAAAACAACATACATCGGTATATAGCAAGAGAATGCCGTCTCATCATTAATGTTAACCAATAAAAAAAAATAAAGATTACTTTTGGCAGTAAGCTATATATCACATTGAGGAGAAAGAAGTATTACAAGTGGAAATCATGTAACTTTTGAAATTAGATAATGCGTCTACTAAAAAGCCTTTACCATCTTACATATAATAACATGAAAGCTTTAGATATGATTTAAAATGTAGTAAATCTAGTAGAAAGTTTTATTTCAAAATAGTATTCATTATATTTATCTATTATAGTATGCACAGTGATAACCATTAGGAAGGAATGATAGACAGATATTAAGCTACCTAAAAACTGTAAACAATGCCTAATTCCTAGTTTATTAAATAACTTATTCGTTAACGAAAGATATTAAATCTTCACACTACCCCCCTACGTATGACTAACTTCACCTGTATTGCTTTAGTCTTTGAACAACTTTTTTTTTTCTAATAAAACAAAGTAGATGTAAATATTGTGCGTGGGTGGCGCAGCGATAAAATGCTCGCCGGCCACGCTTCATTTGGTTCGGGTTCGGTTCCCGGCCGACGCACTCCTTTACCTTGCTAAGCCAGTAATAGGTCTGGTAAACAGGGAAAGTTGGGCATGAGGCTAGCAATGCCATCCCATAAAAATAAAACACAGCTGCTAAAGAAACTACAAAGCTCTAGCTTGGAGTCCTTTGTTCCACTGGGAATGTGAAGGAATTATAGGTGTAGTTAAAACCATTAACAATTCGATATTGGACCATCTGGTGCAAACCGGCCACAAAGCCAGCGTGGAAGAATCCTTGTCTATCATTTACCGGGTGCCTAATAAATTGCCACCGCATGCTCCAAACAGCAGAGGCTACTGCAATTCACCTCAAACAACCAGTGCTCTGTGTTCAAAAAAAGCAAGTACAGCCCCTACTACTGTCCTGGCCTTCAGTAGAGACTGTAAATTCATGAATTTGTAATATTATCTTTCCTAACTTTTCTGACATTCAGCTTATTTTATGCTGAAGCTGTTGAGCTGTAAGCTATCAATATTAGTGATTCGATGTTATTTAAACATTAATGTTGTTCATAACACTAATTCATTCATTCACTATAATGTGTATATAACTGTAGAGCCTGATGATGAAGTTATCGAAAAGAGTATTCTTTGTTCAGTATCCATTCTTTTGAAAACTTAATCATTTAATTTTTTTTAAACATGAGCCATGAAAATTGATACAGAAAACTTGAATGATATTGCATTCACAGCAGAATTCATATACTGGTGGACGACGCCAGGATTATGATAAACTCGATTTCAGCTTGAATGCAAATTTCACAATTCAACTTCAAATGTGTTAACCACTTTTAAGTATAATTTACTACAGCAACAATATAAACTTCTAAAGAATGATATTAAGAGACCATGTAATCATTATAATTATTATTCTTTTGCTACACAATATAAAATCCAATTAACACAATAAAAAATTACTTAAAGCAACCTTAATATGAAATTAAAAATAAAGAAAATAAAAAAACATTTGCAAGAATTATTATTATTTTTTACCTTCCATTTTATAACTTCAGCCTCTAAACGAGAACAATTAGCAGCAGCTTCAGCATGAGCATTTTCCAGTTGTCGTTCCATTTCTTCTTTTGTTTTCTTAAAATTGATTTCTTGTAAGGAAAGTTTACTTTCCAATTCACGACATCGAATAGCTTTTCAGAAAAAAAGACAACAAAGCAAACACAATGTGTAAACATGACGGGATGAATTAAGGCCTCATAATTTACATAATGATAAGTGAATAATATTTTAATATACAATTTTAGTCTTAAATATGTTAAGAGATATTCCTTATACTGTGACATTTTATCGCTTAAATTTAAGTGAAAAATAAGGAAATAAGCGTTTAGATTTACATGCCCGCCATTTGGACTAACTTATCAGCAAAGGCATTTATAGAACAATGCAACGATTCAAGCTGGTACAGTCTGAAGACAAGAGATAGAATGCATACAATTGTGATAAGATACAGCTAACCTCTTCACGTTTTTCACTCTCAACGGCCATAACTCAGAGCGACAGAGAAGGATGAAGCTAACTGTTGAGAAGTGCATACCTTCTTCGATTGATAGCCGGATATCTAGCTGGATGTTTAAGCAAGGATTGTGTTATGTATCATAACAATGAAGGCATTCACAGTGCATAGAAAAACAGGTATTCACAGAATTTACTATCAATATGACGAAGGGAATGTCTCATTTTCAAAGGATAAGTTTAGCACAGTGTACTAAAAGAATGTAGCAGCGTAGCTCGCTCTGATAAAAGCCACATACAACATTAAAGTTAGGTGAAATGAATAAGTGAGGTTACATATAGAAATAATAAAACTTCAAAGATGCGGGTAACACATGCCTAATAACCTATTACTTTGGTTAGCTAAGTTGGCTGGGAACAGGCTGATAGCAATATATGAAGTTACTTCATAATAATCTGGTAATCGAGGATTATTAAATTATAACAACAACACTTGCAAGAGAATTTACTGTTCAACATCTAGTTGCGCGTCGGTGATTCTGTCTGGATTCAACATAGAACTTGGCACCGAAGTGCGGCAGTTCGAGTCACCACGTTCCAAACAGCGCACAAAAGTAGACAAGTAGATGATGAGTGAAGAGAATCAATAGAGTTTGACTGCTGACTTGTTGGCCAGGTGGGGTTATGTGAATAACCACACTTGGGTCTTGTATGCGTGTTTCTGAAACACAACATACATCAATGGCTCGGGATGCCAGAGTCTTAGCTAGTGATGCTTGTTGTCCTATTTGGCAAAGTGTCCTAACATTAAATGCTCCTATATGAAATTGGTGGCGTGGCTTTAGGAGACTATCGGTGGTGGTTTTTTGGCTTCCGTCGTTTTTAGTGGACACAGAGTGAAGAGGGAGTGAGGAGCCATCAAGTGGAGGAGTTGTATCAGTGGAAGGAAGGCAAGATAATAGAGGTGAAGATGAAGACAAAGATGAGTGAGGATTAGAGAGGTTTCGTGTGCATTTCGGATTGTGAGGGCGATTGTTACTTCCCGGCTGCCCACACCGTGGAAGTTGGTTGCGTGACCGCAGAGCCCAGAGGACAACTGCTTGAGGCCGGTCACACGCGGCTTGTTTTTATTTGTTCTTTTTTGTTTGGTGTGTTTCAGTAGCATATTTATCACTTCTGCCCAGTGACACGGCAGTAGGAAGCGCGGTTGTTGTCAATCCGGGCCCCGGCCGATCCGGCATGATATTTTGTGAATTTGTTTGAGTCATAGTATTGGAATTGGTAGCTGTTTTTTGTCCAACCGCTATCCAAACAACCTTTCTGGCATGGCAAGACCTCAAGAGACATAAGTCTCGGTCAGTATAGCTTGTTGGGTCATTCTGGTGTTCAAGCCCGACCCCCACGTCAAGGTAGCAGCAGTTGGTGGTTCATTGGTACAATGCTCGCCAACCATGAGCACGTGGTCCGGGTTCGGTTCCCTTCCAGAACATACCTTTATCTCTCATAGCCGGTTGTAAAACCGACAAAAAGGGAAGGTTAGGCATAAGGTTAGCAACCCCACTGAAACTTCTAAACTCTAGCTTGAAGCCCTATGTTCCACTCGGAACGCAAAAGAATTTCTTTTAAAAAAAACCTAGTTGTAATCGGACAATCATCAATGAAACATCTCGCCAAAATTTAGCAAAAAGAAATTAAGTAAAAGAAAAATAAATAAGACAAATCATCAAATTTTGAACAAATGACTTACTCGTTTGTTCTAGCTGAAGAGTTAATGAACTAACTTCACTTAAATGCGTATCTGACAATGTAAGTGCATCTTCTAATTGCATTTGTAAACGAGCCACTTGTGATTCATAATTTGCATGATTCATTTTAGCTTCACTAGAATTACTTTCTTTATTATTATTTACTAATTGATTTATACTTTCACAACTTTTATTATTAATATCATTGTTGTCTGATTTTTGTTGATGATTATCAGTTGTATTAATATTGCTAACGTGAAGGGAGTCAGTATTGCCATTAATTAATTCTTTTGATGATGATGGTAAATTTAATCCACTTAGTAAAGCCAGATGATATGGATGAGAGGAAGAAAATGAAAAACCTATCGGAGAAAAAGTATGGGGAGGGGAGGGAAAACATATAAAAAAGGATGAGAAAGTGATATAATCACAATGACTATGACATAATAAACTGAAATCTCAATTAAAATAATTCTTTAACTCATAATTTTTGCAAACTGTAAAAGGATTTGAGAAAAAATTAATGAGAAGAGGATAGTGTGATGCGTTTAATTCACTTAGGGGTCAAGTTAGAGTTTAAGAACCACTAACTATCAATGGAGCACGACTGCACCAATGACCTTGAAACGCTCGCTGAGCAAGATAGTGACACCTGGCATATAATTTTGTCATCAATGAAATATACTTAATTGTTATGTTACTCAATGGGATATCTGGCAAGTTTCAGCTTAGGCTTGGGGAAGATTAAGTTACGGTTTAAGCCAAAGACAAGTTAGGGTTAGGTTAACCTAATAAAAGGTGATATTAGAGCTGGTTCGAGTTAGATTAGAGTTAGTTTAGGGATGTTTTCATGCTAGGGTTAGGTTACGGGAAGATTAGCGTAATTGTTAGGGTTAGAAGACCTAAATAATTATATGCATAGTATGTAGTTAACTTACTCTATTGATATGCGAATAGAACTTGTGCACTGCGGCAGAGTATAGTTCCTGACTGATAGAATTCAGTCTACACCAATCAGAGGACTAGACGCATCACACTAGTTACTAGTGTCAAATTAAAATATCCACTACACTCCTAAAGGAGGTCAATTGCAAGCCCGAATAGCTCAGTGGTAAGGTTTCTGACTGCAGCACTGGAGGACGCGAGTTCGAATCTCAGGAGGGACATGAGTTCCTTCAAGGCTACAGATACGCGTTGCTGACTGGTGAATGCCAACTAGCACGAAACCTAGGTCTAAGGCTTCCTACCGATTGCCTCCAATCATCTAAGAGTGTAATTCCATTGCGGATAAAATTTATTCTGATAAAGCCTCACAGTTTTTGATGTGGTTTTGTTCTCTGAGCTGGATGGTTAATTTGCGAAGCTTTCATCACCCTTCAAATTGAAGTATGCGCTGAAGATGTCACTCAGTAGGGTGATGAAAGCTTCGCAAATTAACCATCCAGCTCAGAGAACAAAACCACATCAAAATCATCCACCTGAGCTACAAATCTTCTCTATCATATCTAAAGCCTCACAGTGTTATACAATAATACTTACTGATGACGTTTCGAGCACAATCCATTGCTCACTGAATATTACTCTATAACACTATGAGACTTGATCAAAATAAATTTTACCCACTCTGTTGAAACTCCAACCTAAAACTGAGAGCTATTTTTATCACACGTAATAAAAAGGCATCCTGTGTAACACTTTTATGCAGTTTTTATGAATTGTTTTCATAAATATATATGTAATCCGTACACAAAAATGCCTCCTTCACGTGATTTGTGCTCCCAAGGTCATTTGCTGATTGGTAGTTAGCGGTGCTTAAAGTTTAACTTTGCCCGCTAAGGTAGTACTAGTAAGACATTAGTATATTGGCAGTTAGACTTCTAGTGTGCATATCAATCACACAATCTATATACATGATTTTCTGGCAAATCCACCATCTATATATTCGTACACTGCTTAAGTGCCACTGAATTCCTGTTGTATTGTTGTATTATTAGGTTGCAACCGGTAAATTACATCAGCTAGGATGTGGGACTAAAGCATCAACCTATAAATCTACACACACATGGTATATTAAATTATTCAGTAACCCCTTTTACGTATAAAATGCAAGATTTAAACTAGTAAATAAAGAAGGTATAAATCAATAATCACTTGTGAAAAACACCACGACTATCAACTCTATTAGAAAAATATGATTTTCTATTTCCTTTGACAATCTGTCTGTCTGTTTTCGACATAGAACTATACACAAATGTGCGCCAGTTCAAGTCGCCACACTCCGTGTAGCACGCGAAGCAAGAGAAGAAAGTACAAGAAAAGCATAATAGAAACAGTGAGCAGAGGTGTGCGACAAAGGAGTAATAAAGAAAAACAAAACAGTTTCATTGGAGATCATAAGTCACAAGGAGTGGATGCATCTGCGCCATTGACAACGATTTTGAGCCATGTCACCAATTGTTTCCAACTATAGATTTTTCCCGTCCCGAGGACCCCAGCCCAGAAGTCTACATATTCCTACATGGCTTAAACTAACTGTTGTAGATTTCATTGACTGGTGCCAAGTTTTTGTTTGACCGCCGCTAGCTTTTTTCCAGCCTGACCCTATATCCGCTAACATTGCTCGTCGAGGGAGGCGATGGCTTGGCATACGTAACACATGTCCTAACCATCTCAGTCGATGTAGCTTCACAGCCTCGTCCATTGATTTCCCCTCCTTGCCTAGCACTGGACTGATGCCTAACCTCAATATTGCTCACCTTATTTTACTACCACGTGACACGGAAGATAGAGCGCAGGCACCTATGATCAAAGATAGCTAATCTTTTCATGTCTTCCACTCTCAGTGGCCAGGTCACAGTCACAGCTATAAAGCAGGACGAACCGAACCGCTAAGCAGTACACACGCCCTTTGGTCGAAAGTCGGATATCACGTCTACGCCAGAGACGGCGTAGACTGGCAAATGCGAAACGACCCCTCTGTATCCGTGCTGAGATTTCGTCAGAGATCAACCCGTTGGCGCTGGCTGATGGTACTTCCCAAATAAGTGAAGCGGTCAACGTGCTCTACCACTTCACTTCCTATTTCTAATATAGGAGTCGGTGTAGTCCAGTCCTGTAATATCATCTTGCATTTGGCAGGAGCGGATCGCATGCCAAACATTCGTAGATTACTGCTCAAGGTGTTCAGAAGACTCTGCATTTTGTCAGCATCCTCGCTTAGAAGGACTATATCGTCTGCATATTCTAAGTCAACGAGATTATTCCCTGGTAGCAAGTCAATCCCTGAGTCGCTGAAGTCACTTAGGGTTAAGTCCATCAGTACATCTATGACGAAGTTGAATAGAAAAGGGGATAATGGCCATCCTTGACGGACACCACTAGTCGTCACCACTTCAGATGACAACTCGCCGTAAGCCCTCACCTGGCTGTATCAGTGTATGGCTGTAGAGTGCCTTAATCAGTGCAATGTATTTTCTCGGAATTCCTTTTACAGCCAAGCATCTCCAGAAAACCTCTCGGTCGACAGAATCGAATTCCGCCTTTAGGTCAAGAAATGTAATGATTGTTGGACGCCGGTAGGAATTCCTATGTTCTAGAATCTGTCGGAGGGTGAAAATATGATCAATACATCCTCTTCCTGGTCTAAAGCCTGCCTGGCTCTCTCGTGTTTGTGCCTCCCGAGCACCACTCAGTCTACGCATGATTATTGAGCCTAAAACTTTAGTTACGATATCAGTCAAGCTAATCCCTCTGTGATTATCACAGGAAGACTTGTCTCCCTTCTTGTATATGGGGATAATCAGTGACTTACACCAACCCGATGGGACTTCTTCTGATTCCCAGACGCTGCCTAGTACCTCAGTTAATCCGGACAGTAAGCTGTCTCCACCGTACTTAAATACCTCTGGAGTCATTCCATCAGGTCCCGCTGCTTTGCCTAGTTTCAGATTGGTGACAGCTTTAGTAACCTCAGTTAGGGACGGAGGACCTGTGTCTATATCCCATTCAGGGAGGTGTTGGATGTTCGGAAGTTTGAGCGTGGCTGTGGGCCAATTAAACTGCTCCTCATAATGCTCTTTCCAACGATCCAGTCGTCTATCCTGGGAGCTGATTATAGTGCCATTTTTTACCGAGATTGTTTCACTAATGATTTGTCTTCTCCCACCCGTTTCCCTGATGAGTCTAAATAGTTGCCTGTTGTTGCCTATCCTCGAAGCTTTCTCCATCTCTTTGGCTTTTGTCACCCACCACTGTTCACGCTCCTTCCGGAGACTTTTAGTAAGTTTCCTCTTGTGCAGCTTTCGCTCCTCATTGAATTCGGAGCTCGCCGGAATAAGTCTTCTAGCATCTATCAGTTCGGATGAGGCAGTCGAAATCCAATGGTTTTTACTCACCTTTGAATTTACCTTATTCACAGCTTTTACAGCTGTATCTATGGCTGCCTGGATATTTTTCCAAAGTTCTTCAGGTTGAGCACAGCTGTCGAACTCAGATATGCGTTTAGCTAGTTCTTCCTCAAATAGGGATTTAGTTTCCTGATCGAGCTGGGGACGTGATGGGTTTACCGCCAGCTGTTTCCTACGTCTGTTCAGTCGTAAGCACACCCGAGGGCGGACCAGTGCGTGACCGGTATCTACACACGTGTTCCAGAAGGAGCGACAATCTCCTTTGACAATATAGAATATAAATAGCCTACACCGTAAATTCTGTTCAGAATATAGCCGGTGACTTCAGTGAGATTTCATTCGAAATGTCTCATCAACAAATCTTTTTTTCAAATCAGATTCATAATATATAACGCTCACTGTAAAGTTGCTAAATTCTGTTAACAAACCTAAAGTAGGACCAGACGTATATTCTTGATCACGGTAGTGACTCCTACAGTTTTAGATATCACAATAGACGGATATAAAGAAAGAAAAAAATCAATTACCTGCAAAAGCAAGTTGACTTCCTGCAGTATCCAACAAGTGTTCAGAATAACGTGCAGAATACTTATGATCACTAGACGATGACTCAGGAAAATCACCTTTAGCCACTTCTTTAGGCTTCACATTGTTATTTTCATCTTTCAACTGAACATTTTGATTCTCATATTCATCATCCTCTTCATCTGTCTCGGGTTGAAAATGCGATGTGTCTGTATCACTAGTTAAATGTGGCTGAAAAGGTGCCCGACAAGCACGAATATTTGTCCAGGTCCAATCAGCAATCGAAGCGTCCATAGAATCTACATTGCCATCGGTCTGTTGTGAATGAATCCAGTCGACGGAGAACCAAGGATGGTTGTATACTTCAGTTAAATCGCGACTTTGACTCCCTAATCTGGTGCTGCGGTCGCATAAAAGATCTTAAATAAATTGTAAAATGAATCAGTTAGTAAACATATACCTTTTAGAAAACATACACTGTATGCATAAAATGCTTATAGCATTTAGAATGGTAATTTTATATTCGCAATTTTATATTAAAGAGTTTGGATAAAAAGGGATTTACGAAATTTACTTGACATATATTTTTCTTTATAGATGACTTTGAATGACTTCTCCTTGCAAATCGAATGACCAGTGTTGAGTATATGCTCAATAATGGCGCTCCTTATTGCTCCATTGTTACCTTTCCGTAGCCAGGCGGGATAGTGTTCTTGAACTCTTTTAGATAAAACTCGCATAGAACGACCTATATACCTCGCTCCGCAAGAGCAGGTGAATTGGTAGATACACATGGAAGTGGTCAAATGCGATAGTTTATCTTTAGAGTAGTTGAAGAACAATGGCCGGGAGGAAAATGTCAGTCGTAGTGTATTCTTCCAAGTATTTCCCTATCACTGAGACGATTTGTTTTCCATGCAAATACTTGGAAGAAAACAACCTGAATATTGGAATACCTACCACCAAGCTAAAAGAACTCCTACTCAGATGTACCCTAAATGTCCAGTTCACATTCAATGGGAACCTCTATAGACAACAAGATGGCGTGGCGATGGGATCACCTTTGGGTCCGGTGTTGGCTGATATTTTCATGGCGAGTTTGGAAAATGGTCCACTGAAAGCAACCATCGACAAATTCTTCCTATACAAAAGGTATGTTGATGATACTTTCGTCATCTGCGATAACAATTGTGATCAAAATATGGTTTTTCAAGTGTTCAATAGTTGCCACCCCGCCATCAAATTTACAATCGAAGTAGAAACCAAAGAGACAATCTCCTTTCTGGACGTTCGTTTAAGTAAGAAGACCGATGGTGCCTTGAACAGATCAGTACACAGAAAACCTACATGGAACGGTCAGTTGACAAACTTCTACAGTTGGGTACCAATTAGTCGCAAGCGAAACTTGATAATATCTCTGGCGATTAGAATCCGAAAAATCTGCAGTCCTGAATCAATAGAGGAAGAGATCGCCCTCTTAAGGAAGACACTGCTCGAGAATGGCTACCCACCCCGTTTTATAGACAAGCATATTAAGCCCAAGACTTATAAAGAGCAACCCACTACAGTGCAGAAGAAGATGGTCTACATGAATGTACCCTTCAAAGGTGACGTTCTGGCTGACACCTTGAAGAAGAGGATATCTACTGCTCTAAGAAGGACATTCTTCGCTGCTACACTACGACTGACATTTTCCTCCCGGCCATTGTTCTTCAACTACTCTAAAGATAAACTATCGCATTTGACCACTTCCATGTGTATCTACCAATTCACCTGCTCTTGCGGAGCGAGGTATATAGGTCGTTCTATGCGAGTTTTATCTAAAAGAGTTCAAGAACACTATCCCGCCTGGCTACGGAAAGGTAACAATGGAGCAATAAGGAGCGCCATTATTGAGCATATACTCAACACTGGTCATTCGATTTGCAAGGAGAAGTCATTCAAAGTCATCTATAAAGTCAAAAGAAGCCTTCCAAAATCGACAAGCTTCCGTATACTTTGTATTGCCGAAGCCTTAGCGATTTGGATAGAAAAGCCTGAATATATTTTTCTCCCAATCTAGTAAATATGAAGGGTTAACTATATCGTGAATGCACAATTTAACACACTTAATCAATTCATTATGAATCGGATGCATAGGTAAATCACAGGCAAACTTATCTTCATTTCAATAACACCTTGGTCGTATGACAGTGCATGCTACACAAAGAACAAACGAAAAGCTCTTTCACTTTCATGTAAGCAAAGAGCGAAGAAGTAACTGAGAGTTAAATTCAGATTTTCGATAATTTCACTTTCTGATTGTAAGATGACGTATAAAGCTTAATATCGTTACTGAGTAGAAATGATATCTTCACCAAACAGATAGACATAACGGCTGTGCATCAGTCTAAGTAAGCACACGGAATGACAGTAGAAAAGAAGAGAAAACATTGAAAACATATTGGAAAGAAAAATGTAAGATTAACAAGACGAATGAAGTTATGTATGGATACAGTACATAAAAGTTGGCATTTATGACGCTATTATTAATTCTAGCATCTTAAAACTGGTTTTTAACACCTTGTAAATTATACAAGCAAGTGAACGACAGTACTCAAAAAGAACTGTACTTGAAAGTGTTAAATATATTACACTGCTTAATCACAGCTACTAGTTGAAGATGAGTGTAGTATTAGGCACCTAAGAGTGACGGCATACAACCAGTTTCAACTGCTGTTAATGTATAATTTGGGCAGTGTAGTAGAATTGAATTCCAACTTAGATATCTTTGGATTTAACACGCAGTGATACAGTATTTATTGTTTCTGAACATTAAACTGTGCTCGAAACGTCGTCCACTTATCAATAATGTGTCAAATCATATAAACGTATCTGACATGATATCACCACTGTTCTCAATGCAGAGTTGCCAGTCTCTCCATATCTCTTTAATTATGCTATCAGTAACATTCTCTGGAGACAGCTCTGAAAAGAGGAACATATGGTGTTGATGAGCTCTTCGGATAAAAACTTTTCCAACTTGAGTATACAAACGATATCGTATTACTGTGCGATAAAGTGCAGTCGGACTAAATGCCATTTAAACAGCTGGCGATCAGTGTCTATATGTATCGTATGTGCTTTCTGCTGTATTGTTTCGAGATTGGCAAGAGCCTGTAGCTATACACACGTCAGAATGGCCACCAAAGACTGGATTTACAAGGTTCCGGTTCACACATTCTTTCTCTTGGCCTGCAAAACGTCTGCCTGTCTGGATTCAACATAGAACTTGTCACCGAAGTGCGCCAGTTCGAGTTACCACATTCAAAATAGCACACAAAGGTAGACAAGAAGATGAGTGAAGAGAATCAATAGACTTTGACAGGTATAAGAGTGAAACAGAATTGGTAATGGTAAAAAGGAATATGAAAGATTACAGAGACTGAATACATGTGCGCTGGCCATTGACAACGATTTTGAGCCATGTCACCTATTGTCTCCAGCCATTGATTCCTAGAGTCCCGAGGGCCCCAACCCGGAAGTCTGCATCTCCCTACCTGACTCAGTTTAACTGTCAAGGATTTCATGGATTGATGAGGCCATGTTTTTGTTTGGCCACCACTGGCTCTTTTCCAACCTGCACCTATATCAGCTAGTAATGCCCGTCGGGGGAGGCGGTGGTTAGGCATGCGCAGCACGTGACCTAGCCATCTTAGTCTATGTAACTTTATAGCCTCGTCGATTGATTTTCCCTCTTTGCCCAACACTCTACGCCTAACGTCAACATTACTTACCTTATTAAACCACCTAACGTGAGACAGAGATCGCAGACATCTATGATCGAAAGCAGTCAACCTTTTCATGTCTTCAACGCGTATTGGCCATGTTTCAGAGCCATAGAGAAGGACGGAGCGAACTGATGAGCAGTACACACGTCCCTTGGTTGATAACCGGATGTCACGCCTACGCCAGAGATGGTGTAAGTCAGCGAAAGCAGCTCGAGCTTTTCGGATCCGTGCTGAGATTTCATCGCCAATCAGTCCGTTGGTGCTAATACAACTTCCCAAATAGGTGAAGTGGTCAACATGTTCTATCACTTCACTCCCTATCACTAAGTTAGGAGTTGACGTGGTCCAGTCCTGTAGCAGCATCTTACATTTTGCAGGGGCGAATCGCATGCCAAACATACGAAGATTGCTGCTCAAGGTGTTCAGAAGACTCTGCATTTTGTCAGCATCCTCCCCTAACAGGACTATGTCATCTGCATATTCTAAGTCCATAAGACTTATTCCCTGGTAACAAGTCGATTCCTAAGTCATTACGTTCAGTTAAGGATACTTCCATTAGCATATCTATGATGAAGTTAAACAGGAATGAGGAAAGTGGACATCCCTGTCGGACACCACTGGTTGTTACCAATTCAGATGACAATTCCCCATAAGCCCTTACACGACTACGTGAGTTTGAATAGAGTGCCTTGATTAGTGCAATGTACTTTCTTGGCACTCCCTTCACAGTCAGACATTGCCATAGTACCTTTCGATCCACGGAGTCGAAGGCCGCCTTCAAGTCAAGAAATATGACAATTGTTGGACGCCGAAAAGTGTGTCTATGTTCTAGAATCTGTCGAAGAGTGAAGATATGATCTATGCACCCTCTACCTGGTCTAAAGCCTGCTTGATTTTCCCTTGTCTGTTCCTCCCGAGTTCTGCTTAGTCTATGCATGATTACTGAGCCTAGGATTTTAGAGACTATGTTCGTTAGGCTGATCCCCCTATGATTATCACACGAGGACTTGTTTCCCTTCTTGAATATCGGTATAATAAGTGACTTACCCCAGTCTGATGGACTGTCTCTGATTCCCAGACTTTGCCTAGTACCTCAGTTAATCTACAAACTAGTATGTCACCCCCATATTTAAACACCTCCGGAATAATTCCGTCGGGTCCTGCCGCTTTGCCTCGTTTCAAATTACTGATAGCTTTTGTGACCTCACCTACAGACGGCGGACCAGTGTCTATATCCCATTCGGGTGTGTGTGGATGTCGGGGAGGTTCAGTGTGGCTGTAGGCAAGTTAAATTGTCCTCAAAGTGTTCTTTCCAGCGTTCAAGGCGTCTATCCTGAGAGCTAATTAAGGAGCCATTTTTCTCAGAAATAGTCTCACTTATGAATTGCCTTCTCCCACCCGTTTCTGATGAGTCTAAAGAGTTGCCTAGTGTTGCCTATCGCCGATGCTTTTTCCATCTCTTTCGCCTTTGTCACCCACCACTGTTCACGGTCCTTGCGGAGACTTTTAGTAAGTTTCCTTTTGTGCAGCTTTCGCTCCTCATTGAATTCGGAGCTCGCCGGAATAAGTCTTCTAGCATCTATCAGTTCGGATGAGGCAGTCGAAATCCAGTGGTTTTTACTCACCTTTGGATTTGCCTTATTCACAGC